CTGCTTTTGATGAGAGTCGAACTCATGACCTTTGGATTATGAGACCAACGCTTTAACCAACTAAGCCACAAAAGCAGATGTCTCCCTATATTTAACGGCAATATTTCACCGTTTTTTTATCATTTTCAATACAATCCCCCAGCATTTTCCGTGCCCACGGTGAAAACGGTTCTGGCGGGTGACAAAGAAGTGGTGGAAAGCTATGACTTTTGAATAATCGGCAATTTTTAGAGTTATGAATTTTTGCGTCAGAAGTTCAATATAGCGACTTTTGAGTTGAAATGTGCTACTTTACTATGATCATTTATTGCCCAGAGGCACAATAAGGACGTAAACAATCACTTCACATTCAATCTGAAAGTTGTTTGGGGATCAAACACGCGAGAACGAGGAAAAAACTGCACTTGATATAGCTTATCGAAACCAGATACTTATAGACTTGACCCAGCACCTGCCAAACAAACAAAGAAACAACCAAACGGATAACGTGGAAGCAACCAAAACCTGGACCAAGAATCAGATCGTATTGTGGGGGAGGATGTCGTGAGTTCGTTTGATGGTAAGGGCATCCATGTCAAGGTTTGATAAATATACCATTATTGAAAAACTTAAAAGAAAGAGTATTGTACAATCAATAAAACTTTAAAACGATGGGTTCTTTGCACAGGTCACCACTCTTTAAAAGAAAGGCCACAAAAAGCAGAAAAAAAGCGATGGGCGAAGAACGGTGCACGGGTGGTTTAAAATTCGTAATCACAAGTTTTCTTGATAACCGTTTCACCATCGGCCCATCTTTTTTTCTTGATCGATCCAGAGGATAGTTAAATGAATCAGAAAACAGCAAGCAACGGGTTGTCCTTGTATAAACAAAAAAGGTACTTTGCGCGCAGTTTAAAATTTTTTTGGTGAATGATTGGTTGTGGTGGTGAAGTTTTCCTACAAAATAAACCCACAACCCATTTGTGCATTTCTTTGAACATTGTTTATATACACTTTGGAACTTCACACTCAGCAAGATGGGCCGATGGTAAATGGTTATCTAACTACTTCACTGAATTTGTCTGCCCGTTTACCAGTTTTCGCCTGTCCCGTTTTGCACGTTTTGGTCATTTATCATACCCGTCACCAACTGATCTGGGCGCATTCTGTGTCCACACCAATGTTTACATTTTCGTTTACGTTCACCTTACTCTTTTTCCCTCAAAGAAATGTCAAATTCGCTTGACATGAAAACAACTTTCCAAAAAAGAAAAAAGAAAAGGCGAGCGCTAGCATGGTCGTTTACTTGCAAAATTTCATGTTGACATAACACACCTTCTTCAGAAAAAAATCCTATCAGGTAAAAAAGTTTGGAGGGGCGGGGCAATTACATGATGGATGATAGGTTGTATTTTTTTGGTCTTTTCTGTCTTTTTATAGAATTCACGTCGCTTTCATCTGGTACCAGTCCAGCCTATATATCTTTTCTCATGCATGTCATAATCATATTGTTCAAGTAAAGGTAATCATCCATCTTCGGCCCACACTTTTCTCTTTAAGATTTACAAAATATATTAGTTGTTCAGAATATGCTTCAATACGGTTGTGGTTTTTTCTCGTTTGTTTATGGCGAAGTTGTGCACGCTGTTCGCTCAAAACTTTACAGACGGCTCAGTTAGCCGCTCAAACCCACAACCCCTTGTAATGATGATTTGCCGTGTGTATAAATGTCTTTTTCAAAAGTCAATAAACTCAGATGAGCCGATGACGGATGGTTATCAAATAGTATTGCTTGAACCCCCCGTGCGTCAACCTTGGCTCATTTGGTTTTTTTTTTTTTGCGACTGAATCTATAAACACCCAAAAATAATTTATGGACATAACGTCCTTTTTTGTGGTTTTTGTTTTTCTGTTTTCTGTTTTTTATGTTTTGGTAGCGGTTCTCACGCTTTCATGCATGTCATTACGATCGTGTTGTTGCAGTGGTTATCAACTAATCGTTGACCCAACTTCAATTGGTCTATTCGTTTTGAGAAGTCCTGCTCATGGCGAAGTTGCATTGAATTTTGTTGGGCTCAGTTGATCGAAAAAAAACCACAACCTGTTACCTTGAGACTTTTGCATGAATATACATGTCTTTGCCAAAGCAAATACAATCAGATGAGCCGATGACGGACGGTTTGATTACTTTGTCAACCTTCGCCATTTTTTTTTTCGTCATTTTTTTTGCAACTTCCAGAAACGATGTCGCGTAAAATATGGAACATAAAACGAAAGAAAATACTGACGAAAAAGAAAAAAAAGAAGGAAAGAAAGGAGCACTATTGTCACAACGCAAGTTTCGAGAGTAAAGTGAGATATAGACTGGTCCCAAGCTTTTGACTTCATATGTTTTCCTGTTGCCACTCAGACAAACACAAGAGTGCAATTAATGTGAAAAAAAGTGAACCAACCAAACGTCATGAAAAAGGTAAAAGGGAGGGGCGGGGCAATTTTGTGATGGATGATAGGTTGTCGCTTTTTTTGATCTTTTCTGCTTTTTGTTTGTTGTATTTCACGTCGCTTTTAATCATGCCGGCACCAGTCCAGTCATTTACGCTTTCATGCGTGTCATCATATTGTTCAAGTAGAGATAATCATCCATCTTCGGCCCACATTTTTACCTTCAAGCATCACGATATATATTAGTTGTTTAGAAAGTATTGCAGCTGGGTTGTGGTTTTTTTCTCGTTTGTTATGTGTTGACGGCGAAGTCGCGTAAGTTGGTCGTTTCAAATTTTTTTTTAAAGTGGGCTCAGTTTGCCCTCCGAAACCACAACCCGTTTGAATGACAATTCGTCATGTAGATAAAAGTCTTGTTCGGAGATAAGAAAATCAGATGAGCCGATGACAGACGGTTATCAAATAGTATTGCTTGAATTCCCCGTGTGTCAACCTTCGCTCATTCGTTTTCTTTTTTTTTTTTTTTTTTGTGACAATCAATCAAACATCGCCAAAGCAAAAGGAAATAAGGTTCATAAGGAACTAAGTTCACAGGAATGGGGTAGTTATGTGCAGCGTTATGTGAAGGTTCATTTGTGGGGTTTGCCATTAGAATGGCATTGTTGCAGTAAAGGCAATCATTTATAATCTTTGTCTAAAGTTGAAAGCAACATTTGGTCCTTTTTTTTGGTAATTTTCCCAGTTCGAGTTATGGCGAAGTTGCGTATAATTTGTGGATACGTTCAGGGCTCAGATCAAAAAAGAACCACAACCCGTTATTTTGATGATTTGCCATGTGTATAAATGTCTTAATCAAAAGTCAATAAACTCAGATGAGCCGATGACGGACGGTTATCAAACTTAATTTTGTCAACTTGAACTCCCCGTTCGTCAACCTTCGCTCATTCTTGTTTGTAATTTTTGCTGGGACGATGCCCAGTCCCTTTCACAATGATATGATTTTCGTAACACGAGCTTAGAGAATAAAAAATAAAAAATGGTTTTTGAGATCATGTATGTTGCCTTCGTCTTTCTGACATTGCAACTTAGTCAAACATAAGGGTGTAGTTTGATGAGCACAAGGTGATCAACACACGAAAAGGTAAAAGGAGGGGGCGGGGCAATTACGTGATGGATGATAGGTTGTTGTTGCTTTTTTTTCGGTCTTTTCTACTTTTTATTTTAATTCTTTTAATCTCAGATGCTGGTACCAGTCCAGTCATTTGCGCTTTCATGCATGTCATCATATTGCTCAAGTATAGATAATCATCCATCTTCGGCCCACATTTTTATTCTGTAAAAAATACAAAATATATTAGTTGTTAAGAATGTATTGCAACAGGATTGTGGTTTTCGTTTTCTGGTTTGTTTGTTGACGGCGTAGTCGCGTAAGTTACTCGTTTCAAATTTTTGTCAGAATGGGCTCAGTTAGCCCTCCAAAACCACAACCTGTTACCCTTTACTTTTGCATGAATATAAATATCTGTGCCAGCACGAACAGAATTAGATGAGCCGATGACAGACGGTTATCAAACTTACTTTGGCAAACTTGAACTTCCCCGTTCGTCAACATTCGCTCATTCTTTTTTGTCTTCTTTGTACTTGCAAGTGTTACGTGCATATTGAAATGAAACGCGGAAAGTACTATCACGAAAACATGATTGATCTCTTCAACACGAGCTTTGTGTTAACATGATCAGAAGTTGCAGTTTGTAGAAATTGAAGTTCACCCTTTCAGCGGCCTTGACTTGTCAGTCTGGACACATGCATTTCATCAATTTTTTTTTTTTTCGTTCTCCGCTGATATTACAATCTCTTCGCCCTTTGTCATTTGCCGCTAACCAATCCAAATCTCGAAACCATATCCATATCATTCCATTAGTGCAACACACCATCCATTTGATCACTCAAGGTCATTTTCATAAAGACCTTCGAAGAACTGGTCTGTAGTGTTTGTTTTGGTACAAGATACTCTCTTTGTTGAAACCTATCAGTTCTTCAGTCATTCTCATCATTTCTTCCTCCATGGTGGCGATATCTGCCATCACATCCCTCAACATCATGAATTACTACTTGCAGTCATTCTGTCAGCACGATTGAATATTCATTCCTTGCTATTGGTGTGGTAAGATCCATTGTTTGTTTGTTTTTTCTTTTTGTCCGTCACTCTTCTCGTCGAACTACCATCCTCCTCTCAGTTCATCCAATGTGATTGCACCCATTGATTCCGCATCCATCATTCACGACACATTGAAAACAATAAATCTGATTTCGCTCTCTTCTTCTTGGACTTCTTTTTCAGCCAGGTCCCCCTTTCGGAAACGATTCGTTAACCTGCTCTCATCGCCGTTGCAACCTGTTTGGATCTTCCCTCTCAGAAAGAGATCCACAGCCAACATCATCAATCTTCGTTATCTGTATTAAACCCTGTCATTCTTGTAAGTCATTTGTCTTCCACATTTCGATGCATTCGGAGAAGAAAAATAAATGTTGATTTGACGACATCCTAAGGGGAGTCAACCACCCCATCAATTCGTTTTCTGTTCACTTCCACAACACTCGAGAGCCTGTCATTTCGTTCCGCGCAATCACCATATATCGACCTTTTCCGTGAG